CCCAGCCATATTGGTGTGTCTTTCAATGAGCGTGCGGATGCTGCCGCCAAGGAAGCTGTCCGCTCTTGTCCCATCTCTCGTAAGGGCATTCCGTATTCCGACTTTTACCCGGTTATCCATTCCTCAGTCCTTACCCGTTGGCAGGCTTCTTGGTTGTCTGTTACTGGTAACAAGCTACGTACTCTTAAATGTTGTGTTTCCTCGTGGCAGTCCTCCTTCCACCGTAACCGGCGGTGGGAAACAGCTCTGGCGAGGTTGCGTATTGGCCATACTCGCTTAACCCATGGTCACTTGATGGAGCGCCGCCCTGCTCCTTATTGTCCTAGTTGCATTGTCCCTCTTACGGTCATGCATGTCCTTCTTGAATGTCCTGACTTCCAGGACGAGCGTGTGTCTTGCTTTCCGACCGCCCCTCGCGGTCACCTGTCACCTGTCCCTCGATAGAATTCTTGGTGACTCGGATACTTTTGATATCGTTCGCCTTATGCGTTTTTGTTCTCGTATTGGCATCCTTGGTGATATTTAACGCCCTCTGATTATTTTGCGTATTTGATGGTGCTACATAGCCTTCCCGGTTTGGTGCCTTCTTTTGATAATTACTTACTTACTTGCTTGAGTAACGCTTAATCTACGTTAGATCAACGTAGATTAAGTGGCAATTAACATTTGCCCCGGGGTTATGGTCCCCAGTACAGGTTGTCGCCTACGGTTTGCTGCAATATTCAGGAAATTGAATTTGTCCTTGATTCTGTCGTCATAGCCTTCCCGGTTTGGTGCCTTCTTTTGATAATTACTTACTTACTTACTTGATTCTGTCGTTTGTAGGTGGGGGGGGGGGATATTGGGGACGGTGGGTTCTGAACTTTGGAAATGCACAAATTTTAATTATTCCCCCTCTCGTTACCAAAATTAAAAATTGTACTCTCCTAATTGTGCTTGTGGGGGTTGAGCCGTCTCTCTTTGGTCCCGCCTCTCGACTGTCAATCAACTAGAGTACAGATTCCTGAGCCTACTGGGCTCTATCAGATCTACATTTGAAACTGTGTATGGAGTCAGCCTCCACCACATCACTGCCTAATGCATTCCACTTGTTAACCGACACTGAAAAAAAATTTCTCTTCAGATGAAGTTAAAAATTGTCACCCTGTCCTCTTAAAAATAACGTCACTTTTGGCGTTTACCAGTATGGTCGATAGTGGACGTAACTTGAAAATGAAAAAAGTTTTTTCTTTTTTAATAGTAAGTAAAGGGTCCTCTGATAGGATAGGTGGGCAGGAAGTTCTCATAAAGCTTCATAACGTTATGAAAAACCTTAATTGAAAGTTTCCTCTTCTAACCTTACCAAGTAGGCCGGACGACTCAAACAGAAAACGGGACAGTACGTCACTTTTGCGAGTCGATTTCATTTCAAATTACGTCCAAATTTGGCTGGGAGGGGGGAGGCGCCCCCCCCCACACACAACTTATAGAGAGGACTATATTTGCCAAAAAAATTTAACAGAGGACCACTATCTAGTGGCCTCTACGTGAACAGGAAGCTGATGGCTTGCTAGAGGCTCTTCACTCATTGTTCCTTGAGCATTTTGAACCCCACAGATAGTACCCTTCCCTTCTCCCCATTCCTCAATATTTTATCCATGTGGTTTGGGGGGCCGCGTGTAGTAACGGAAAGATTGATGTTCTGGAGAGAGTTTTGCACTAAGGATATCTTTGTCGAATTCTGTGTCTATTGCAAATTGTCTGTTTACCTAATCATTAGTATTTGTTGTATGTCTGGTAACTTGCAAATGTAAAGGAAGAAATGTATGTTTATCACTCAATGTTCAGTAGTGTGATTTACGTCTATACACTGTATATGAACACCGACTGAACGGGGTGAGAATAGCTTGAGGTACCTCATCCCTTTGTGTGAGCTTATCTCGGTAAACTTATTTCAATTTTCCCCTTTCTGCACTCGCCAGCGCTCTGCCGCCCTTGTAGATGGTATCCCTTGGCTTCAGAGTTTGCACTTTACGAAACAATGTTATATAACAAAAAAAGGCTTCTGGAACACAGGCTCGTGATGGAGGCTTCTATCAGGGGTAGAAATTAAGCCATCCACGAGGTGGCACGGACATGAATAGCCCGTAAGTGGTATGTATACTGTAGGCCGATGTCGCATTTAATTGTCGGCCTGCTATCGCGGGGGAGGATACTGCTTGACAGTATGTGTCCAGCTACTAAACATCCTTTTATGACAAGAAGAGTGGCAGAGTTGATGGCTTCAGGGTGGTTACTGCACGATTCAGGGACTCAAAGCTCTTCTAAGGTCGTTGGTTACTTCGCATTTTAGGAGATAGTGAAGTAGTGGCTTTTTCTGTGATTGTTTGGCAGAAGATGTTTGGCACCTTCTGCTACTCTGGTGTAGATAGGCTTAGTTGAGGTGCGAGTGTGTTTTTGGTAGTGTTTATGTACTCTAGGCTGGGTTGGATTGTTTTATGTATCACTGGATGACGAGTTGCAAATTTAGCAATTTCATCCGACTCGTCCTCTTAAAAATAACGTCGCTTTTAGCTTGAATGTGTGCACTATAGCCAAAAATGGACGTAATTTGAAATGAAATCGGCTCACGAAAGTAACGTTCTGTCCCGTTTTCTGTTTCCTCTGTCTTACTGGATTAGGAGAGGAAACTTTCAATTAACGGATTTCATGAAGTTTAACATTAGGAGAATTTCCTAACCTACCAGAGGACCCTCAACTTGCTGTTTAAAAAAAAAATCTTAAATTACGTCCACTTTCGGCCAAATTCAGACGTAATTTGTAAGAGGACAGGTTGAAAGCGTTCTCGATGGGATTCAGTGTCTTCCGACGATGTTGGCTACTCCATAGTCTTTCCCGACTACACTTGTGTATGCCGCCTGCCCCCGGAGACAAGCATCATCACGGCCGAACTGTATGCTCAACTGTTTTTCAAGCTGTTCCTTTGTGGTTCATAGTGCTCTAATGGCTCGGAAGTCTTAACCCTATGCAATTGTGATAGTGGAAATCCATTATTGACCGTTTCTTAAATCTGCTAGACAACTAGTTTTGCAAGGTTTCTGGCCATATGGTATTCCCGTAAATGACTGGATGCTGCCACTTAAGGCGGCTTTCCACACTTCCATTTTTCCAAAAAATGCATTTCTACCAGTCATTCATTCCTCGATCTGCAGCCATTGGTCTGGTGTTACGAGTAACAGACTGTACACTCCTACCAAAGTGATCGCCCGTAGGAAACCGCTATGGGTAAGTTATATTGGTCCCACACACTTAACCAAAGGCACTGCAAGAAGGGCGGCGTTCCATTGTCCGAACTGCATGGTAAGTTATATTGGTCCCACACGCTTAACCAAAGGCACTGCAAGAAGGGCGGCGTTCCATTGTCCGAACTGCATTATCCTTTAGTCGTGCACCTTGTGCAGAATCAAGATCGTGTCTTACTTTCCAACTGTCATTTGTCTGTCGATAGACTTTATGGTGCATTTAACCTTTGATCAGTAATAGCACCAACCGTCCGAATGCCAATTTATTTTACCTTCGATATCGCTCGCAAGACGTGCTTTTGTTCTCGTTTTGGCATCCTAAGTGATGTCTCCCCGGCTTGGTGCCTTTTGATTGCGTCGTAGACTAAAGTAATGAATACCTTTTGTACCAACATACCCGCAGTAAAGATGGGCCAGTCCTAGAAAAGATTTGTAACTAGGAAGTTTAGGATCTTTGTAATGAGCAAAATTTGCGCAAATAACGGTAATTCAAAGTTTGATCAGAGTTACTGGCATGCCCACTAGGCTAATACATACATTCAAGTGTGTTAAGCTGTTGTCTGCACATTATAGCACATGGAAAGTAATAAATTAAGATTTACAGATATAACGAGAAGTAACAAGATGCATGTCTCGCTGCTTGACATTAGCTTAACCCTAGGAATGTTTTGTCTGTTTTAACATGGCTGCAAGTCACTTGGGCTGATAAAGTCATTTAGAGCCGCGTAGTTGCTCATTTTGCTAGAGTACCACTGGTCTGTTGTAAGGAAATCATATGCTATGCAAAATTCATAGTATTGTATTTTGAAACTACTGCCAGTTGTACCGTCTAATGAAAACCTGTTGTAGCAAGGAAATGGAAGGATTTTATAGTACAATATATAGGGAATTATCTTACGAGGCTCTGGGGGATTACCATGGCTGCCCAATCTGCTAAGTGCATAGCCGATAGTAAAGCAATTGACAAATCAGGTTCCACTATCCTAGTACCTCTTCCAACGCTACATAAAGTCCGAAAAAAGTAGCAGCGTTCCTGCAAGCAGAAGGATTTGGGACATCAAGTTACTGTTACATTAAATTACTGGAGTTCAGTCGCGTTAAGTTGCTGTATGGGCCATTATTTCACGTCCCAGTTTTCAGTATGCAATGTGGAGTGGGGCTTCGTATTAGTTCACAAGCTTAAATCGTGGCCAATAAATACTTATTGAATCAAGGTAGGTCTGGTGAATTCATTACATGTGAAATTTTAGTTTTCCCGAGTAAAGGCAATTAAAAAAAATTTAAATATCCATAAATTTTAGTAAAATTAACAATACAAAATTATGCTTAAACAATTTAAAACTATTTACATCTTTGCACGTGTACATGTAAGTTTACAGCTGCCGTTCTGGTGCTTATAGAAAAAAAAAAAATTGACAAGACTGGCGTTCGAGGAAAGCATCCTAACCCCATCCCTAGTCAGTGTTTTTATTAACTATCCAACTGGGAGACAGCATTACCATTCTATATCCCCAAATTAAAGCTTTACACGATGCTTTCAGAACGTTTTACAACGTTTGTAGATTGTGGAGGCCGGCTAGTGATCAGTGGTGGCGCCACAGACCCTGTGGGGCGGCAGGGAGAGCAGGAGTTGGTGACGACGTCCTGGCCGGAGCCGTCACACTTGGAGTAGTGGTCACCAGGAGTCTTTAGTTTCACGCACTTGTGGATTATGTCTAGTCCGTGTAAGTGGGCGTAGTATAAGTGGGCGTAGTGTATTTAGGTGTAGTATAAGTGGGCGTAGTGTAGGTGGGCGTAGTATAAGTGGGCGTAGTATAAGTGGGCGTAGTGTATTTAGGTGTAGTATAAGTGGGCGTAGTATAAGTGGGCGTAGTATAAGTGGGCGTAGTATAAGTGGGCGTAGTGTAGGTGGGCGTAGTGTAGGTGGGCGTAGTATATTTAGGTGTAGTACAAGTGGGCGTAGTGTAGGTGGGCGTAGTATAAGTGGGCGTAGTGTAGGTGGGCGTAGTGTAAGTGGGCGTAGTGTATTTAGGTGTAGTATAAGTGGGCGTAGTGTAGGTGGGCGTAGTATAAGTGGGCGTAGTGTAGGTGGGCGTAGTATATTTAGGCGTAGTGTAAGTGGGCGTAGTGTAGGTGGGCGTAGTATATTTAGGCGTAGTATAAGTGGGCGTAGTGTAGGTGGGCGTAGTATATTTAGGTGTAGTGTAAGTGGGCGTAGTGTAGGTGGGCGTAGTGTAGGTGGGCGTAGTGTAGGTGGGCGTAGTGTAGGTGGGCGTAGTGTAAGTGGGCGTAGTGTAAGTGGGCGTAGTATAAGTGGGCGTAGTGTAAGTGGGCGTAGTATAAGTGGGCGTAGTGTAGGTGGGCGTAGTATAAGTGGGCGTAGTGTAAGTGGGCGTAGTGTAAGTGGGCGTAGTGTAAGTGGGCGTAGTGTAAGTGGGCGTAGTGTATTTAGGTGTAGTATAAGTGGGCGTAGTATAAGTGGGCGTAGTATAAGTGGGCGTAGTGTAGGTGGGCGTAGTATAAGTGGGCGTAGTGTAAGTGGGCGTAGTATATTTGGGCGTAGTGTAATTAGGCGTAGTGTAAGTAGTATAAGTGGGCGTAGTATAAGTGGGCGTAGTGTAGGTGGGCGTAGTGTAGGTGGGCGTAGTGTAAGTGGGCGTAGTGTATTTAGGTGTAGTATAAGTGGGCGTAGTGTATGTGGGCGTAGTATAAGTGGGCGTAGTGTAGGTGGGCGTAGTATATTTAGGCGTAGTGTAAGTGGGCGTAGTGTAGGTGGGCGTAGTATATTTAGGCGTAGTATAAGTGGGCGTAGTATAAGTGGGCGTAGTGTAGGTGGGCGTAGTGTAGGTGGGCGTAGTATATTTAGGCGTAGTATAAGTGGGCGTAGTGTAGGTGGGCGTAGTGTAGGTGGGCGTAGTGTAGGTGGGCGTAGTGTAGGTGGGCGTAGTGTAAGTGGGCGTAGTGTATTTAGGTGTAGTGTAGGTGGGCGTAGTATAAGTGGGCGTAGTGTAAGTGGGCGTAGTGTATTTAGGCGTAGTGTAAGTGGGCGTAGTATGTGGGCGTAGTATAAGTGGGCGTAGTGTAGGTGGGCGTAGTATAAGTGGGCGTAGTGTAAGTGGGCGTAGTGTAAGTGGGCGTAGTGTATTTAGGTGTAGTATAAGTGGGCGTAGTGTAAGTGGGCGTAGTGTAAGTGGGCGTAGTGTATTTAGGCGTAGTGTAAGTGGGCGTAGTATATTTAGGTGTAGTATAAGTGGGCGTAGTAGTGGGCGTAGTATATTTAGGTGTAGTATAAGTGGGCGTAGTGTAAGTGGGCGTAGTGTAGGTGGGCGTAGTATAGGTGGGCGTAGTATATTTGGGCGTAGTGTAGGTGGGCGTAGTATAAGTGGGCGTAGTGTATTTAGGTGTAGTATAAGTGTAGTATAAGTGGGCGTAGTGTAGGTGGGCGTAGTGTATTTGGGCGTAGTATAAGTGGGCGTAGTGTATTTAGGTGTAGTATAAGTGGGCGTAGTATAAGTGGGCGTAGTGTAAGTGGGCGTAGTGTATTTAGGTGTAGTAAGTGGGCGTAGTATAAGTGGGCGTAGTATAAGTGGGCGTGTAGTGTAGGTGGGCGTAGTATAAGTGGGCGTAGTGTAAGTGTAGTATAAGGGCGTAGTGTAAGGTGGTATAAGTGGGCGTAGTGTAAGTGGGCGTAGTGTAAGTGGGCGTAGTGTAAGTGGGCGTAGTGTATTTAGGTGTAGTATAAGTGGGCGTAGTATAAGTGGGCGTAGTGTAAGTGGGCGTAGTATATTTAGGCGTAGTGTAAGTGGGCGTAGTGTAAGTGGGCGTAGTGTAGGTGGGCGTAGTATAAGTGGGCGTAGTGTAGGTGGGCGTAGTGTAGGTGGGCGTAGTATAAGTGGGCGTAGTGTATTTAGGTGTAGTATAAGTGGGCGTAGTGTAGGTGGGCGTAGTGTATTTAGGCGTAGTGTAAGTGGGCGTAGTGTAGGTGGGCGTAGTATAAGTGGGCGTAGTGTAAGTGGGCGTAGTGTAAGTGGGCGTAGTGTAAGTGGGCGTAGTGTAAGTGGGCGTAGTATAAGTGGGCGTAGTATAAGTGGGCGTAGTATAAGTGGGCGTAGTATATTTAGGCGTAGTGTAAGTGGGCGTAGTGTATTTAGGTGTAGTATAAGTGGGCGTAGTGTAGGTGGGCGTAGTGTAAGTGGGCGTAGTGTAAGTGGGCGTAGTGTATTTAGGTGTAGTATAAGTGGGCGTAGTGTAAGTGGGCGTAGTGTAGGTAGGCGTAGTATATTTAGGTGTAGTGTAAGTGGGCGTAGTGTAGGTAGGCGTAGTATATTTAGGTGTAGTGTAAGTGGGCGTAGTGTAGGTGGGCGTAGTGTAGGTGGGCGTAGTGTATTTAGGTGTAGTGTAGGTGGGCGTAGTATAAGTGGGCGTAGTGTAGGTGGGCGTAGTATAAGTGGGCGTAGTATAAGTGGGCGTAGTGTAGGTGGGCGTAGTGTAGGTGGGCGTAGTATAAGTGGGCGTAGTGTATTTAGGTGTAGTATAAGTGGGCGTAGTATAAGTGGGCGTAGTGTAGGTGGGCGTAGTATATTTAGGCGTAGTGTAAGTGGGCGTAGTGTAGGTAGGCGTAGTATATTTAGGTGTAGTATAAGTGGGCGTAGTGTAGGTGGGCGTAGAGTAGGTGGGCGTAGTATAAGTGGGCGTAGTGTATTTAGGTGTAGTATAAGTGGGCGTAGTATAGGTGGGCGTAGTATAGGTGGGCGTAGTGTATTTAGGTGTAGTATAAGTGGGAGTAGTGTAGGTGGGAGTAATGTAGGTGGGAGTAATGTAGGTGGGAGTAATGTAGGTGGGCGTAGTGTAGGTGGGCGTAGTATAGGTGGGCGTAGTATAGGTGGGCGTAGTATAGGTGGGCGTAGTGTAGGTGGGCGTAGTATATTTAGGTGTAGTATAAGTGGGCGTAGTATAAGTGGGCGTAGTGTAGGTAGGTGTAGTGTAAGTGGGCGTAGTATAGGTGGGCGTAGTATAGGTGGGCGTAGTATAGGTGGGCGTAGTATAGGTGGGCGTAGTATAGGTGGGCGTAGTATAGGTGGGCGTAGTATAGGTAGGTGTAGTGTAAGTGGGTGTAGTGTAAGTGGGTGTAGTATAAGTGGGCGTAGTGTAGGTGGGCGTAGTATATTTAGGCGTAGTATAGGTGGGCGTAGTATAGGTGGGCGTAGTATAGGTGGGCGTAGTGTAGGTAGGTGTAGTGTAAGTGGGCGTAGTATAAGTGGGCGTAGTATAAGTGGGCGTAGTATAAGTGGGCGTAGTATAAGTGGGCGTAGTATAAGTGGGCGTAGTATAAGTGGGCGTAGTGTATTTAGGTGTAGTATTAGTGGGCGTAGTATAAGTGGGCGTAGTATAAGTGGGCGAAGTATAAGTGGGCGAAGTATAAGTGGGCGAAGTATAAGTGGGCGAAGTATAAGTGGGCGAAGTATAAGTGGGCGAAGTATAAGTGGGCGAAGTATAAGTGGGCGAAGTATAAGTGGGCGAAGTATAAGTGGGCGAAGTATAAGTGGGCGAAGTATAAGTGGGCGAAGTATAAGTGGGCGAAGTATAAGTGGGCCTCGTAACCTCAGTATGGAGGTGTGTGGCACGTGCGGTTGTCAAGTTATAGACACTATGGCTGGTATTGGTGGGTGTAGGGGAGGAGAGCTTAGTAACGCGCGGGGTGTAGGTGGCGGTGTCACAGGGTGTGAAGGTACAGATGGAGCCGCCACGGACACACTCACACCAGTTACACTTGTCTACCATCCACATGGACCCGTCCGTGCACGAGTCCACCCCAACCTCCGGTACGTAACCTGTAGGAGAAGCGTTTACAATTTAATAATTGTAATGTTACAAACTTTCGAAGAACCCTGTTGACGCAAGCGTTAAAATATGTCTGGCACATTTAAAAAAGCAACGTTTTTAAAGCAAACTAAAATGCTTACTTGCCTTTTAACAAACTTTTTAAAGCAAAGGGGGAAGGGTAGAGATCTAGGCTCAGGCGGATTTTAAATTAAAATTAGTCAGTAGTTTAGGTTGTAAACTTTGTTTAAAATTTACCCATAGAATGTAGTTCTCAAATTAGCCTTTAAAGTTTTCAATTAATGTTGCATTTAACCGCTTCAATTCCCCTCCCAAACAAAAATTGCTAATAAAAATTAAAATTATAGGGTTAGAACTTTTGCGATTGCTAGTTTTGAAACTGGTTACAGTACTAGTTTTAATAAGTTTTTTAACAGTTTAAAAAATTCTAGATTAAACCTTACCGAACTAATGACAACTTTTCATGATTATTCAACTTTTGCGACAGAAAAAAGTCAAAAGAACTTGCCTTCTCCACAGTTTATTAGTGTGCACACAACTGCATTGGAATATGAAGCGTTAACGCAGCTGCAGGTGTTGCAGTCCTCCTGCCAGCGTGACCCTGGCACGCAGGAGCCGGTAGTCGCCGGAGGAACGGGGCTGGGAACCCAGGAATCTGAAGACGTAAAGGAATTACAATTATGCCACAGCCTGCATCTAAAAGGCCGCGTGTACACTAATCTGCACTACCTGGAGACATTCCCCCCCCCCCCCCAGTCAGTGTGGGTGCACCGTGTTACTTCAAGATAACATCCACAAATCTGGTAAATCTAAATTTAGAAACTGGATTAAGCAGCAAACCATTTATATATTATCACTAGTTTCAAGGAACATTTAGCAGGCCGGCAAGCAGAAAGGCTACCAATGTAGAAATGTGTACTATGGCCAGCTACTTTAATAAGTTGTCAAAATAGTTAGCAACCACGGCGAAAATATAGGTAAAGGGAATAAATTTAAACTGCGCTCTTGTACGGCCATCGAACGTTGCCTCACTGCTTCCCACCCCGCGAGGCGGCGGCGTGTTGTACCAACCTTCTGCCCGATTGTCTATATTAGAATTAAAGGCTATGGTTACACCAGCGAAAAAACTATTACAACAGCTCTGTCCTAGAGACATTTCAAAGTCATTAGGGTTACCAAGCTTTTTCTTCATTTTTATATTACACATTTTTTGGCTGGTACGTTCTTTCGGCCACGTAGTAAAATAAATTTAGTTTCTTTTTAGTTTCAACATGCAGGGAGGATAAAATTATGTAGATGTTAGGATGGTCATAGAAACTAGTAGCATTACACATTAAATAGTGCCAATACATCAAAATCTATTATGATAATTATATTCCCTAGCATAGGTCTTCATTAATTTTAAGTTGCTAAAAAACTTTCCTACTCAACTTTTACTGAAGCCAAGAGGCTGAAACCAAGGTAAGAACCATCATTGCCAGAATTAAAGCTAAACATTGTTATAAATCTAAACTTACCCAGTGTCCTGGCGAGGATGAGCTTAGTCTGCTGGAGGATAATCTGGAGCTGGAGCAGCCAGTCTGCCAGCTCCCTCTCCGTGGCTCCTGCTCCCCGCATCATGCACACATACCACGCACACGTCTCTGTAAGGAACCTCTTGTCAACTCTTGCTGCAAGATACCACCTTACACCCACATTCTTCCCTTTGTTACTTTACAAATATAAATTTAATCTAGAAAGGAATGCAAGAAGTTTTAGGCAGCAATGCTAAAATTACTTGTTTACAAGTTACCAACTCTGCCAGAATGTCTGCCAAAATTCGCGCAGATTCTAGCTAACTAAATTCGGGTACTCTGGCTCATAAGAGCACATTAAAAGGTTTACATGTCTAAGAGCCCAAGCAGGTCGAGGAGGGACGGGTGTTAACTAGGACCTACCCGCGTGAGACTGCAGGTCTTTGTCCCTGCCGATGATTGGATGGAGCAACCTGCGGCACAAGACTACGTCCTTTAGCAAAGGAGACTTGCAGGGGTTCAGCTGTGTCAGGAGGAAAAAAGTTTAAACAAAAGTCAGTTGTCAGGCGTTCAAATCATGATACTTTAAAGTTTTGACAACTCTACAGCGTATGTGTGAATAAGTTTGAAACGAGCTTATTAGGTTTTCCAAATCTAGATACTTTGGAACAAATTGTCATTATGGAACTAGATTCCAAGAAAACTAACTAAACTTCCTGAAAGTAGCAGTTTTGGTATACAAAGCATTTAAAAAAAATTACGTCAATTCAGTATAGATGTAGGCTACTTACTGCAGTTTCTTTTTCACAGTCCAGACACTGGAAACACGCACGATCCTTTTGGTCTTTTGTCTGAAATTTAAAGATCTGCAACTTTAAAAATCCCTAATCAAAGCGTTAAGCTCCACATTTAAAACTTTTGAACCGACATTCAGTATGTATATTAAATTCGGTATTTTTTTAAGCCACTTTCCAAATTTATGGCACAAGCTATTCAATATATACTATCCAAGTATATCAGGAGAATGAAGGCGCCAGCAGCTCACCCTCCACGACTCTGGGAACGCCAGAGGCCAGGACTGGAGAGTGTGGACGACGTTGTTCCTGCTGGTGAAGTCATCGTCCGTGTAGAAGTTGTAGTGACCACACAGACCGTCCAGATGGTTGGTGTGGCTGGGATACGCCCACACGTCCAGCCGCTGACTACAGTGTTGCAGCTACAATCAATAGTTTATACATTTTAGTACTTTAAAAACTATGGAACGCTGAACATCTGCAGTGTACATCTTCACTTTTGAGACCTAATGACATACCACGATCTTAGAGGAGCCGAGCAGGTAGATGCAGCCTCCGTCCCTCCAGGCCAGTACTGGGTGTGCACCAGCAGAGGACACTACTGCGTGAGCTCCGCTGGCCGGTACAGTGTACAGGTCCCCGTTCACCGTTATCTGTAAACATTGCCGAATTAAGATTTTCATTCAAGCTGAGCATTTAGTAGAGTTAATCTTCAACTAGAGTTTCAGCATCAGTTTATTTAAGCCTTAACTTACATCAAACACTGATCCAGAGTCCAGAGTGATAACAGTGTGAGGATTGTCCCTGAAGGTGGTGCGGGAGAGGCAGGACGCGTGCCCATTACACTGATCAAAGTCACTAAAGACCCCAACTTCAGGCGTGTAGGTCAGGTCACTCTGGGCTACAGAGTAGTTGCAGACGCCGTGCCAGTCGAAGCGGTGTCCGTCGAAGGTCTTTATATGGGGATCATTGTAAATGTAGCAATTCCTACCTGCAATAAAATTTCCATGAATATACAGCAAGTAATTTTATATATTTTTCTACATAACGGTATTTTATTGCGCCGAAGTAGTTTCCTTTAGCAAGTGTATCTTAACTTACAGCAATCTTCAATAGTTGGAGTCGGGGTCCAGACACCCTTCACACAAGTAAGGGGGATGCACTGAGCGAGCAGTTTAGAACCGTCCTGGTACATCAGGCCGTCAAACTCGCAGCCTGAAGAGAAGAATGTCAGTGTCTAAGTAAACCATTATACGACGCCAAGTATTAAAATATAAAGTTACAACCTGCAGACTTGCAGAGCAAGGAACTATCAGTGTACAAAAGGTACAGTTTTAAACCAACCAATAATGGTTTGGGACGAAGGAAAATTACAACCCAAATTAGAAGACTAAGCAATAGCACAATACTTACAATGAGTGTCTCCTGGGTTGCCGGCGTCGTGACGCTGAACGAGACCATTCCGACAGACCAAGGAGAAGCAGCAGCTGGGCATGGAGAGGACCACCTCCCCGTGCTTCACTCTGGCGTCCCCGAAGCAACACCCGCTCCCGGCCTCTTCCTTAGTAGCTGCTGGAGAAGATATAGTTGAAGCAAGCACACCGTTAACCCCTCCCCCCGCAGTCTTTCACAGACTATAGAAACAAGGGTCGCTAGGACGTAGTAAATGTTACACCGAAGTGGGAAATAAAAAGGTTTATTTACTAAAGCACTTTACTGAGCAATGTAAAAGGCAGACATATTTAAGCAACTTTCCCTTTAGAGAAAGCTCGATAAACTTAACATACCTAGTGCAGGCAAGGCCAAGAGCATGATCAGTACACAGGTACAGGGGCGGATGACATGCTTTCTATGCGGTACACTCTGCAATAAAGAATTTAGTATTTAGTAAATTTCAAACAAAGATACCTAATGTTGCCAGAACTTTTTTACCCCAGTACTAAAGTACTTATGACGCGAAGTCTCTAATCTGCTCATATTTTGGGGTAACTAACCACCTATTCATAAAAGACTTGGTAGATTATGAGTAATATGGACTTTTGCTAAAATTTTTGGCAACTAGCAAAGAAATTAGGCACAATGAATAAATGTTAGAATACTGGAATGGATAAAATAAGTTAAAAATAAGGAAAGGCCCGAAATTAATCTGACTACAGATACGAGAGGTACCGCAAGGGTCCTCTTTTGGGACCCCATCTATTTTGTCTTTCCTATTACAAACCACATCACAATTTACAGACCAAGATTTATGGTAAAGTAACAAGTGGATATTATATCAAGGCCCATACAATTATATACAAACTACAGATAGTTGCAAGATTGGCAAATGCCTTGTAATGTCGAGAAGCAATATTTTGGCTGCGTTGCCTGGTGAAGTGCGTCACAATTACCACATTAACATTACCGTGCAACAGACTTAATAAAAGTACCTTCGAGTCATAATCCACACCGCTCCTGTGCCAGCAAGTCCACTACGGGCTCACCATAGCCTGTGCTACTTCGAACTTTTTCCGAGTAGCTGAATCTATAACAAGTCATAATCCACCATTCCCTGGTAGTTGCATAGCAAGTGAGCTGCAGTATAGTTGACCAAATGCTAGAAATATTCAAGCCAACATTCTACTTCAAAGGAAAAATTACTTTAACTGTACAATTATCTGGTGCACCCCACTTTAATTACTGTATCCATGCATGGATACATCTTCAAAAAGACTTGACTGCTTTAGAGCAACACCTGCCAACAAAAATCATTCCTGAACCAAGTAGACGCGTACCAGGAACGGTTGGGAATCACGGAATCTACAAACTAGACAGATAGGGCCGATTTAATCTACACTTAATTTGGAGGACTTTTTAAGAAGGTGCGATTAACAAAGCAGTGGCTTTAAGCTCAAACCACAATGTTAAAAAAAAAAAAAAAAAAAAAAAAGACTTTACTATTATAAACCCATGGAACAGCCTACTCGCTGAAGCCGTAACTGCCAAAACACTTATTTCAAAGTCCAGCTCACCTGAAGTATAGGGTAGAAGTGGCTCAAGTAACTATCCTTGAGATCGTATTGGTTCAGACGTACTTTAAAATCTAAAAAAAAATACTACAAAGGGTCCCTTCCATAAGCTGCCGGCTTCTTGTCCTCATCGAGACCAGTGTTTTTCTCCGGTAAATTCAGGAAGGCTATGTCCACATTTTATATATAAAGTCAAACTGGTATAGACAGAGGCATCTGCATACCTACTAACCAGACTGAATAATGCAAGAATCAACGGTAAACTATACCAACTTAGTGTTCGCAAATATGCAATTGTTCGGTCATTTTCATTTAGAAGAAAATTCTGAAGTTAAAAGTTAACTCGTGCTATAGTTAGAAATTATAGTTAATGCAAAAGAGCTGCATTGCATTTTAACATTTATACACTGTAGTATAGTCGGGCTAGCAAGGTCCGTGGTTTGATCCCCAACAGCGAGGAGACAACCTTTACACCGACATCTCTAACATCATTCAAGTCAAATTTTAGAGGCTTTAAGAACTGCACTCGTAAAACCATGAACATTGTCGGGTTTATGTTAATATTTATCTTAGCAGATGCTTCTCGATGTTACTAGCCATACGTTTTCATAAATTACAATGACACTTCACAAAACATACCATACTGGTGCCAGCAGCCACGAACACTGAATAGCGAGTAACAGATGTTTGAACGACGACTGGTCGTTCCGGCGTCAAACCCTGCACTGAGTTGGTTTAACTTCTTCATTACACGACGAAAGCATTGTTTGAAACGCTCTGAATCAAGATTCACAATTACCTGACGAGCAACTGAGTTTTTTTTTTTTAAACTTTAGGGACATCGGCATTTATGCAGCTACCCTAAACTATATGAAGGATTGAGTGTGTCAAGACCTAGCTCTGAAATGTTAAGAAATCTCCATCTCGAGGGTGGTTAGTTATACAGGGGCGCATATGTGATCAGTCCGTCCTCAACTCAAGTTCATTCCATCCAGTGGTCGACTCCACAGAAGCATTCATAAATGCTTCTGTGGAGTTTCATGAAATTTAGTACATGAAATTCATGTACTAAATTTGTACATGATGTTCATTCCAAACAGGAATTTTCTTATATATAAATTAACATTATAATATAGTATCATATTGTGCATATATAGGCATAGGTTAGGTTAGGTTAGGTGTTTAGGTTCTGTTTGCGTTAATTGTACAACCCGTTCTCGACTCAAGTCCATTACATTCAGCGGTCGACCCCACAGACGCATTCATAAATTTTAACATGCTGTTCATTCAAAACGGGAATTTTCTCAAGTATAAATTAATATTATAATATATTGGCATATTGTGTATATATAGGCATAGGATAGGTTAGGTCAGGTGTTTAGGTTCTGTTGGCGATTATTTGCATTTGTAGTACGTGGGTGAAGCATTTATAGCGTTGTGATTCGAACAAAATTTATCAGTGAAGCACTTGTTCCGGATATGTTCGAACGTCAGCAGTTGTGAGTCGTGTGTAAACCGCTTTTCATTCATAAACAGGGGGTTTGGCGGGTGCATGGAATCAATTTTGGATCTTTGTTTGGAGGACGGGCTAGATGACGTCCGAACACTTCCGGAACAAGTGCTTCGCTCACGTCCTCTGTTCGAACCATAATTCTATAAATGCTCACCCATGTACTACAAATACAAATAATCGCTAATAGAACCAAAACACCTAACCTAACCTATACCTATATATGTACAATATGCTAACATATTATAATATTAATTTATATTTTTTAAAATTCCCGTTTTGAATGAACAGCATGTAAAAATTTATGAATGCGTCTGTGGGGTCGACCGCTGGATGTAATGGACTTGTGTCGAGGACGGGTTGCAACCTAAACACCTAACCTAACCTACGCCTTACTATACATAGAATTTTTATATATACTAATATTAACATATACATGAAAACAAACCAATTTTTCATACACAGTATGCTAAAATTGATGAATGCGTGTGGGGAGGACGGCCGCTGCTTTAAACAGCCTAGTGTGAGGACGGGTTGGGATGAGAGATGAGGGAGCATTAGAGTCTGAGGGTGGGGGATAATTGAGACCTCCTACCTAGGTAATGGAGGCACTACAACCTCCTACCTAGGTAATGGAGGGACTCGATAACCCCCTAACCCGGGCCTTGGAGGCACTCGATAATTCCCTCCACGTACTGGAGCCTGAAGGGAGATGGAACATTATAGTACTTGAGGGGAGGAGGGGGAGGGACTCAGTACTGCCTGAGGTGGGGTGGCGAACACTTACGGTGGCCGATGCGCATTTGTCCTCAATATGAGCAATTGTGAGGACTTCCCGTGGCACGTAGGGGCGTATATATGTGGTAGACACGTGTTTGTATGTTGCTCACACACCTGTAGTAGACACGTGTTTGTATGTTACTCACACACCTGTAGTAGACACGTCTTTGTATGCTACTCACACACCTGTAGTAGACACGTCTTTGTATGTTACTCACACACCTGTAGTAGACACGTCTTTGTATGTTACTCACACACCTGAATCTGCTCGCCTGTGAAGAATTTCAACTCTTGTAAAAACTGTGAATCCTTCAACCAACGAGTGTACTTGCTCACCAGCCTTGGTGGTTATATATATATTATATATATATATATCATATATATATATATATATATATATATATATATATATATATATATTATACATATGATATATATATATCATATGTATAATATATATATATATATATATATAATCTTGGGCATAGCATTTTACCAAATCACCTCATTCTTGTTGCATATTGTCCTGGGGACCATTCAGGCTTGTTCGCATTTGTGTTCCTCACGTGTGCCCCAAAGAATGAGGTGATTTGGTAAAATGCTATGCCCAAGATTACTATCCGAGTGCCGGCGGTGGGGTGGTTCAAATAGCCTCGGCTATTACCTCATATATATATATATATACATATATATATACATATGATATATATATATATATAT